TATATATATATATATATATATATATATATATATATATATATATATATCTACTTTATTTTTTCCGTTTGTGGGAAAATACTTAATTTAATGATGTTTGTGATGCAATTGCAGACAGAAGACATAATTTCTTGGCTTAGTATTATGAATTCAATTAAAACATTTTAATATAGTTTGTTTTGTGGTTTTTATGTTTTTCTGCCAGTAATGTTAAAATATTAATCGTTAACCAGTGTTGACTTTTCTTTTTTTTATCAATTAAAAGCAGAAAAAAGACCCAATGCATAACTAATTTGACCGTAATAACCAGCACAGTTTTTTTTTAAATTATGTATGGATCAATAAAATCGCAGGATGCAAAATTTGCCTACTTACTTTCATTTCATATATTTTTTAGATGTGGTTTTACCAAAATAACTTTAGTGTGCATCCTTTTCTCTCCAGCAATGTTAAGTTCTCCAGGAGCCAGCCTGCAGAATGCCATCAGTACAGTCGTACCTGGCCAGCCTAGTGCCACAGCCATCAACACTGCTTCTACTCACATCGACCCCAGCTCTATGCAGAGGGCCTATGCAGCTCTAGGCCTTCCATATGGAAACCAGTCCCCTGCTCAGGTTCAGGGTCAGGGTCCAGCTCAGCAGAACCCGCAGGGGCATCAGCTACGAAATATGAACCCACTTGGTATAAAATCAAAACATTTAGTTTTTTTTTAATCAAACTTTCCAGTCACATGTAGATGCTTGTAGATAAACCTTTGTTAATCTGCGTTTATTAGGCACTAACCAGATGAACCAGATGGCAGGAGGCCTCGGTGCCCATTCCTCAGACCAGACTGGCCTGCACTCTGACTCCTCTCTCCCCTCTACGCTCAACAAGTAAGCCTTGTTAGAATTTCTTCATAATCAAACATTGATATAAATGTTTTTTTATTTTTATTATTTTTTTTAATCAAATGTGTCTGAACCGAAAACAAATTCTGTGATCTGTCTTGCAGTCAGCTGCTGTCAGATGGATCAGTAGTAGAAGGAATGGGAAACCTGCCTGCTGCCACCCCTCTCTCTGCATCAGGGGTAAGAAAGGCCTGGCATGAGCACGTGACTCAGGACCTCCGCACCCACCTGGTGCACAAACTGTAAGTCTAACATATAAGAATGTTTCAATTTGCAAACCAAATGGTTCAGCAGATAAGTCAAATTTTTAACCCTGCAGAGTACAAGCCATATTTCCCACTCCGGACCCTGCTGCACTGAAGGACAGGCGGATGGAGAACTTGGTGGCTTATGCTCGCAAAGTTGAGGGAGATATGTATGAATCAGCAAACAGCAGGGTAAAAGAATCCTAATGCACCTAGTTGTTTTTTGTATCATAACGATTCAATAATTGATTTTTTTTTTTAACTCTTTTCCTGATCTCATGGTTTAATTGTCCTCTTAATAGGATGAGTATTACCATTTCCTGGCTGAAAAAATTTACAAGATCCAAAAGGAGCTGGAGGAGAAGAGACGCTCTCGGCTTCAGAAACAGCCTCTGATGGGGACGGCTGGGCCCCAGCAGCCTGGTATGGCTCAGCCCAACAGCATGGGCCCCGGTCAGGCTGTTCGACCTCAAAGTACGTACCAAACACCCATAGGACCTATTTTATAAACCGCTCACATGTTTGTATTTTTTGATAGCAACCTTTATTTACGCATGTTCTATGCTGGCTTCTTGCAGATGGGCCTGCACAAATGCCCAACATGCCAAATCAAATGATGAACCGTATGCAGGTGGATCAAGGTATGTCACATCTCTCTTAGCAGGGGGTATTTTGGGAAAAAAAAGAAAGAAAAACACAACTTATTTTTTTACCCCTTCTGTTGTCATGTATGTGATGGATTTCAAAACCATAAGTGCAAACATAACGGTAAAAAGCTGTCTTGTAATGCCTCTTGGATTGTTGATCGTCTCTTTAATTCATGTGGCTTAATACCTGTGCCAGCCTCAGTAGGGCATCGAATTATTAAATTACGTCAACTCCCCTGAAGAGGTATGTAATTGTATATAAATTTGTTCCCACAGGAATCAATCAATTTAACCCAATGGCGATGCAGAACACGCAGATGCCTCAGGCACCCATGGGAGCGAGGGCTCCCTCCCCAATGAGCCATCCACAGCAGATGAACATGAACTCTGTTCCAGTGGTGAGATTTGTTTCCTTTCTCTTTTTTTTTTCCCCCTAAGCATTTTTGTTGCTCTCATGGTGTTAAAATTACGATTTACAACCATTTGAATACATTATAGGATTTTAGTTTTTTACATTCATGGGTAGATATATGAAACCCTTTGATACGTGATGTGCATAATCATATTATAGGCTTTAGAACAGGAGGTTTCACTTCACACTTTAAGCTGTTACTGTCACCTCTGGTAATGTTATGTTTAATAGTACAATTATTAAAGGCTTTGTTTATCTAAAAAGAACAAATTTTTGCTTGCTAAAAAGTGATTAATCCTCAAATTAGGATTTTTTTTCTTGCACCAAACGTTGGATCTTTTTCTGTGTTTCAGTTTTGTTTCTGCAGTTCTAGACGATTTATTTTAAAAGTTTTTAACCTAAAATGCACATAAAGGTGTACAGTACCTAACAAATGTGATAAAACATGTTAAAGTTTGTTTGAATGTTGGACTAGATAAAGAGAAATCAGGGAAAAGCATTTTATTTTTGTTTGGAGCACTGACTTAATTCAATGTTCTGATGTGTTTCTTCTTGTTCAGATGGGCATGTCCCCATCAAGAATGCCTCCAAACCAGGGCATGATGGGTAATCATGCTAATAACATGCTGTCTCAGCCAGCCTCCCAAGGCCAGTACCTGCAGCAGGGTCAGTATCCTGGTTCTGCAGGTGGAGCCATGAATGTGAATATAGGTATGGGACAGACTATGCCACAGGCTGCTGTTGCACAGGTAAGATGATCTTTAATTTAGTAAAACAGACTAGAAAAAACCCTCTTTGGTCTGGGTTGTTCTGTGATTGTAGCCTTTTCGTCTGTCTGCTTTATGAAAGTTCACCAGGCTAATAGTTTGCCCCACTTTTTCCAGCAACAACAAACCTCTAACCTCCCTCTGAATGCACTGGGCCCCCAGCTTCCCTCTGGACCCTCCACCCAGCCCAACCGCGGCACCCCCCCTCCACCCAACGTCAGCCAGCAGCAGCAACATGCCCCCACCCAGGCCCAGGTGCCACCCCAGCCTTCCACCCCCGGCTCCACAGCAGGACCTTCCTCCACCCCTACCCACATTCCAAGTAGCCTTCCTCGTCCTTCTGCACCCATGAACACTCCTCCAGACCCCTCCCAGCCTCTGACCCCCATGCAGCCACCCTCTGAACCTCCCAGCCAGATGCAGCAGCCCACCTCTGTGCAGCCGCAGCACCCTAGTACACCGGTGAGATCCTTGTTCTTCCCGAGTGCTAAAAACAAGCTTCTACCTATGCTGGTTTAGATTCCAGCTCCTGTCTGGTCATATGTTTGCTTTTTTAATGTGTCTCATAATTTATATTTATTTAATAAGTTCTGTTTGACTCGTTTAAGTTATCGCAGGCTGCAGCTGGTATCGATAACAGAGTACCTACCCCTGGCTCTGTGGCTGAACTGAGCTCCCAGCAGGCCCTGCCTGACACGAGCAGCTCTGAAGTCAAATCTGAAGTCAAAGAAGAGGAGGAGGAAGAGGACAGCAAACCTGGCAAGAAACAAGATGATGTAAAGATGGAGGTATACACAGCATGTTGCATTAAAAAAAAGTTATTTTTTAAACACAGCTACAAATATAAATGTTGCTTTTGATTCCTTTTTCTCAGCAGGATGATGAAACCAAACCCCCCCTGGTGAAGAAGGAAGAAACAGATGCAGCAGAACCAAAGCAGGAACCAATGGAGACTGAAGACAAGAAGCCGGAGGTGAAGGCAGAACCCAAAGAAGAGGAGGACAGTGCATCCAACAGCACATCTACTGCTCAAAATCGCAAGAAAAGTAAGACCACTAATTCCACTCTAGTTTGTTCGTTGACCTGCCTTTGCTGATTCTGTATGATTATTCTTAAAATAATACATCAGAAGACGGAAGAAAATATTTTTTTAGCCTTCCTATCGCAGACAATCATTCATTTTTAATTTTGGCAACAAAAGCCATCTCATACACATGCACAGTGAGAGGGCATTGAATGGAAAACAGGATATTTATTACAATAGTTATAAGATGGCATTTTAGTTCAATATGAAGAGGAACACATATCCAGAAACCCATTTAATTAGATTCTAGATTAAAAATATTTGAGCCCCCATTTCTGGACTTTATTATTTTTCAGTGTTTTTGACAAACAATGTTGCTAATCTGCAGAAGAGCTCCGTGTCTGGGATGCTGCATATAAGGCAGTATGGATATGGAAGCTCTGGTTAGACTGACACTCTTTTATGAAATGTTTTAAATTTAGTGAGTAGCATTACCAATATACAGCCTTTTGGATTTATTCCTTAGATTATGTAGATCTGACCTCCAGAGGTGGAAACCCACATGTGTAAAACTTTAGCTGTGGTGTAAAAAGAAGAAGGAAAAAAAAAGGTTCAGCTGTTCCTTTGTCTGCTGAAGGTCTGGCTTTCTAGTGCCCTGAATAAACTACAGACATGTCATTGAAAATGTTTTCTTTCAAATGCCTTCATTTGTTCTTTCAGTGCTACTAAAAATGGCTGACATGGTGTTCTTCACTCAGTCATTCAGCTTCCACTTTCATTAGTGCAGCCTAGTTACGCTTAGGTATAATATTTTCACTGACTGATAAAGAAAAAACACTTTCTGACCATTCAGCAAATCAGGCCAGGACGACTCTGAAGAATCCAACACCTGCCTACAAGTAAAGATTGTGAACTGTTAAAGCGATATTTTATTTTCAATGTTCTTCAGATTTATATTTTTTCTACAACTAAAACACACCAAGGTAATGGATGCAGACAGGATCCACTCTGTTCGTCTGCAAGAAGGCAACCTAAATCCATGCATTTCCACCTGAAACCAGACTAATAACATTAAATAAATTTCTTAGTGGCAGAGCAGATTGTCTGATACGCATTAACACACTTTTAGGTTTAAGGAAGCAAATGTTTTTTATTAATGTTTTATTTTTGCAGCGTAACATTAGAACCCTACTGACTGATGGGAGTGAGATGAACAACAGTTTAACTGTTTGCTACAGTAACAAGTTGGGGATCAGCAGTATAGGACGGTGAAGAGTTTGAATTAAGAGTAGTTTATATATTTTAAGGAATATGGACTACTTTACTTAAAAATAAAGATTGGAACATTTTCACTGATCAAACCTGAAGAAAATCCTACAGCAGTAAGCAGATAAAAAAATAGGTTTGGATTTGTGAAACGGCTCTAAAGACATTTTAGAAGTTTGATCCGATCCTAGATGATTGGCATGTCAAATTAAGCACTCATGAAAACCATTGCACAGAAATGCTTTAGACCAACTAAAGGAAGTAGTTGATGTTCAGTTTCACTTGTTGTTCATCTAGTTTTCAAGCCAGAGGAGCTCAGACAAGCCTTGATGCCTACGCTGGAGGCCCTCTACAGGCAAGATCCCGAGTCCCTGCCCTTCAGACAACCTGTAGACCCCATGGTGCTTGGTATTCCTGTAAGTTCCCACAGTTCTTTTGGGTTTTTGTTTTCTTTTTATTCCAAACCGTCCAACTTTAATAGAATCGGAAACCCAACCTCTTCCTGCAGGACTACTTTGATATAGTGAAGAATCCCATCGACTTGTCCACCATTAAACGTAAGCTAGACACGGGTCAGTACCAGGAGCCATGGCAGTATGTGGACGACATCTGGCTCATGTTCAACAACGCCTGGCTGTACAACCGTAAAACATCACGTGTCTACAAGTGCTGCACCAAGCTGGCCGAGGTGTTTGAAGCAGAAATTGATCCTGTCATGCAGGGTCTGGGCTACTGCTGTGGCAGGAAGGTGAGACAGTAACATGTAAATACAGCTTAGGTAGTAGAACTACTGATTCTTCCCTTGAATTAAATCATTGTAAAGTGAGTAAATCTAAGTGGTCACAAAAAAAAAAGCAGTAGATGAGGCAAAGATTGTGCATCAACATTTTTTGGTTAGATGAGCCACAAACATGTCGAATGTTGAAAAGCAGGTCTCTGCCACAGGAAAATATGGCAGCATCATGCTGTGGAATGCCTTTCTGACAGTGACAGATAACCTTGCCAGAGTTGATAGAAAGATAAATGGCGCTAAATACTTGTTATTGATAGAAGGAAATCTGTTAGAGGATACAGAGGTTCACCTTTCATCACCTCACCTAAACATTAAGCTAGAGCTACAGCTGAACAGTAGAAATTATAGTATGTTCTGTTTTCAGAGTAGCTTGAATCTGAGACGGATTTAACAATAGATTTCCATCCAATCTGGCTGACTTACAGCAACACATACTTTTTAGATTTCTCTATATATATTTTTATTTAATAATAGTTTTCCCTCTACTTTTCAGTTAAGTGCTGTTTTTTCTGCAGGGTGTCCCCCATGGAAATGGTCAGAAGTTGTAGTCTGGCCAAAATAGGAACATTTCAATGATATGTTGGTTAGCGTAATCAAACAGTTTTGCTTTATTAAGAAAATGAAATGAAAATCCACTATAACAGAATGGTACATGTATCAGGAAGTATATGGTGATCCTATTTTTTCAATCATTTCTACATGATGATTTCAGTCTTAGAGCTTTATTTTCATACTAAAATACATTTCTGCTCTTACTCAGCACTGCTAATAGTTTTGTAGATCAATGTTTTGCTAGTTGAAAAAGTGTAATTCTCTACAAAAAGTGTAGTTCTCTACTTGTAACAATAGCCCCACAATTCTTAAAGGATTCATTGCAAGTTTTGGAACTTATAATTATTAATGATATTGATTCTAAATTGTTCAGTTTGTAATTAAATGGATGCAAACTTAGATACTGGATTGCTAATTTGAAACTGTGTAGTTGTCTGTAATGTCAACAGATTAACTATTTTCAGAGCAGAGTGGATGGTGATATTTCTTTATTTTCATTCAACAGTATGAGTTTTCGCCTCAGACGCTTTGCTGCTACGGCAAACAGTTGTGTACCATCTCCAGGGACAGCACCTACTACAGCTACCAGAACAGGTAACGCAAATATTCAAAATGATGGGGAAGATGTTATCACACAGGTTGGGGGTGCTTTAGAGGATTTTGCTTGGATCTTTTGTAAAGATTTAAGAAGCTGTTTTAAACCATCCAATGCCTATAAAAGGCAGAGACTCTGAATGAAATGGTTTCATTAATAGCATGTTGCAGACATTGTTCCTCATCAGTCTGTGTTCAAGTCAAAGGTTTGGCTTTTACATAGATCTCGCACCAAAGCTCCCCCTTCTGGTCTATTTGTGCTACTACACCTCTGCAAACTAGTTTTTTTTACACTGTGGCAAATGCTTCAATGTTTCACATCTTGAAAAAAATTATTTCCCAAATATTGAAAAGGTAAATCATTAATCCCAATAAATTTCCATCTGATTTAGACATTGATCAAAATGGCTAATTATGGTTCCATTAGTGTCAAGCTTGTATGTATACATGTCAGGTGTTTGATTGAACTGGAAATGGATACAGATATGGTTATGTTGGTTTTGTTTTAAATATATCATTGCCATATCTGACCACGCCCCCTCTCATGCATCCATTCTTACCGTCTCTGGTGCATGCTGCCATGTCTTTAACTATTACTATGTAAATGTTTCTGTTCAACCAGCATGCTGTTTAAATGTAAAATTCACTGTGGATCATTATAGCCGCTTTAGCATGTTGCCCACCTTATCATTGCTCCAGTTTGAATGAAAGGCCGAATCATGACAAATTCAGTTGTGACTAACCTTTACCTCTGCTTGTGTGTGTATGTATGTGTCCATTTATCCATCTGTCCGTCTATCCACCCATGCTTGGTCCGTGGTTGTTGCCGTGTGCTCCATTCGATCCGCATTCTCCCACCTGTACGCCGGTTTGCCTGTGCTGCTACTGTGTGTGCTGGCCGTAGTTCACCCAAATATGGCCTTATTGCCGACAGGTATCACTATTGCGAGAAGTGCTTCAACGAGATCCAGGGCAACAGCGTAAACCTGGGCGATGACCCAGCGCAACCGCAGACGTAAGTGGCCAAAAGCTGGTTGTTCTTAAACTCGCCAGGGATCATGCTGTACACTCTCTGCTTTGGCTTGAGTTATACGAGTAAGCATTAATACTTGTATCTTTTTTTTCTTTTTCACACAGCAAAATATCTAAAGATCAGTTTGAAAAGAAGAAAAACGATACTTTGGACCCTGAACCGTGAGTTTACTGCAGGCAGTACAGAAAGCTCACTAGTATTTGATTGATTCCAGAGATATTTTATTGTGAAAACAAAACTTCTGTCTGTTTTTAGGTTTGTTGAATGTAAAGATTGTGGAAGAAAAATGCATCAGATCTGTGTACTGCACTATGACGTCATTTGGCCCTCTGGGTGAGTCCTAATCCATAACACCAGAGTTCAGATGACCAACATTTGTTCTTATGAGAACAGAAAATTAGCAATGCCACTTGAATGTTTTCGTATTTAGAGGTTATTGTAGCATTATTAGGGTTAGTGCTAACTCCATTTTACTTTCAAACACCTTGTACCTCTATTAACCCCCCTCAACAAAACATGGTGGTGTCAGTATCGTGCTGTGGGGTCATTATGTTTGACGCACATACAGGAAAAATTATCCACCCGTCACAGCGTCTGCAGCTTTTATACTTTATTACGCTGTGCCCCCCTCACCCTGGAGTCGGGGGCATCTTCAGCACAAACTACAAGCGAACAACACAAGGAAGTAGAAAGCGCAGCCATTTATAACTTTTTCAAAGTCTTTCATGCCATCTAGAAGCATAATTTCTTTCCTAAACATTTTTCCACAATCTGTTGACAGTGGTGATAATTATGAGCTAAATCAAAGGTGGCCTTCAGATGTTTACATTTGCAAAGCCTCGCCAGCAGGAGCTTCTGCTCGTTCGCCTTGTTTTCAGGCATAGATCTGTCCGTTAAGTTAAACAGACGTCGCGTGGAAGCTCAAAATGATGCAATTTGCCCATGCTAACCTCGCAAGCAAGCAAGCTTTAAAGAAGATGTTTCGAGCTAAATATCGAAAGACAATTGTTCAGAGGCAGACCAGAATTTGAGGCTAGAGCTTCAATAAATACACCACCCCCACAGTAAATTATGAGTTTTTAACTGAGCCTGTTAAGCTGAGACCTGGACATTGGTTGGAGATGATGCTAAAATGGCAGATTACAGATTGACTGTTGCATTTTTTTTTTTTTTATTTCTCCCCAGCTTTGTTTGTGACAACTGCCTGAGAAAGACTGGAAAAACTAGAAAGGAAAACAAGTTCTCCGCAAAACGTACGTAAAAATGCTAAAAGAATTTTCATCTAGATGAACGGCTTTAATCTAAATTCAGTTTTAAAGCCATGTTTTTTATTTTATCAGGGCTGCAAACTACAAGGCTGGGGACCTACATCGAGGACAGAGTAAACAAGTACTTGAAAAGGCAGAACCACCCAGAAGCTGGTGAAGTGTTTGTGCGAGTTGTTGCCAGCTCTGACAAAACTGTTGATGTTAAGCCTGGCATGAAGTCTAGGTAAGATGGTTTAGACCTGGGATCTATGCCTTACACTTCACCTCAAAGCGTGGTTTGTTGTAGCTAAGGTTTTCCTCTTTGCACCTGCAGGTTTGTAGACTCAGGTGAGATGGTGGCGAGCTTCCCTTACAGAACCAAAGCACTTTTTGCGTTTGAGGAAATCGACGGCGTGGACGTTTGTTTCTTCGGCATGCATGTTCAGGAGTATGGCTCAGATTGCCCCTTTCCAAACACAAGGTGACGTTAAAGCTGAAAGAAAATCTCAAAAGTTCTCTTATCCTTTTGTTGTAATTTAGTTTTTTGTAACGCTTTGCCTCGTTTCTATCTTTCAGACGGGTTTACATATCATACCTCGACAGTGTTCACTTCTTCAAGCCGCGTGGTCTGAGGACTGCAGTGTACCATGAGATCCTGATAGGTTACCTGGAATATGTGAAGAAACTTGGGTAGGACTAATTTTATTATGTCAAATCTGTGGGTTGATGGCTCCTCTAGTCGCCAAGTGGCTCATAGTGTGATTTTCTGAGCAGATATGTGATGGGTCACATCTGGGCATGCCCCCCAAGCGAAGGAGATGATTATATTTTCCACTGCCACCCTCCGGACCAGAAGATCCCTAAGCCCAAACGGCTGCAGGAGTGGTACAGGAAGATGCTTGACAAGGCTTTTGCAGAGAGGATCATACATGATTACAAAGTAAGAACAAGGAATATAAAGATCTTTATGTTGACACATTATATTTTATACAACAATGATTTAAAAAAAGATGTATTTAAATTTTTCTAGGAAGGGCTTAAATATTAAGTTCTTCAGTTATTTTTTCCCCTAAGTTTTCATAAACATTTTTGTAAAAAATTTTATTAAGCATTATTTCTATGTTGCTTCCGTTTTGGGTCCAGAGTTAAACATTCAGGTAATGTTTATTTATATAGCACCTTTCTCAGACAAGCGTCAAAGTGCTGTATAATATGAGGCATAAAATACTAAGCAGAACCATAAAAAATACATATAGACAAAATAAATACAATCATCTGGGAAAAATGTCACACCAAAATAGAGATAAATCGAGCCAAAATACAGAAGAACAGTCAAATCTACAAATTGGCGAGAAAATACATTTTCAGGTCGCTGCAGCTTTTTCTCCAGCTTTTACTAAAATAACTAAATCACTGTGATGGAAAATAAACTGCTTTAGACTTTTACTGCAGCAAACAGGCCTATTCCCTGTCAATAGGAAATTGGATTATTTTTAAAATATTTGTAAGAATTTAATTTACCAATGACTGCTAATAAATGCACTGCAAATGAAAATTGACATCTTAAAAAAAGTCAGTTTTTCTAAAAATAAGTGCCTTTTTTCTTGAATTTAGGAGGTAAGTGAGACCCTTTTTCAATTTAACAGGACTTTTTACATTCAAAGTAAGAAAAAAAACATTTGCATTCTCTTATTTAAGGTGCATATTATTTAATTAGCCGAAAAATACTAATTCCATTGAAGGATCATCTTATTTACCTACTCAAATTAAAAGTCAACACACTTGATCTAAGAAGTTTTTACTTATTTCTAGATCATTTTCTAAGTGTGGGCGAAATTTTTATCCCAGCAGATCATCTGCTGGGATCCTCTAAATTAATTTCAGTTAAAATAATTAATCAAAGTACAAATATGAGAGTAATGAAAGATTAACAAATCTAAACACATTGTTAGAGTTGATAATTTTGCCTTTTAAATGTTTAATAAGAGTTTGTTTTTGTCCAGGATATCTTCAAGCAGGCGACAGAAGACAGGCTCACCAGTGCCAACGAGTTGCCGTACTTTGAGGGCGACTTTTGGCCGAATGTGCTTGAGGAGAGCATTAAAGAGCTGGAGCAGGAGGAGGAGGAGAGGAAGAAGGAGGAGAACACGGCCTCCTCTGAGACAACAGAGGTATGGCTCATGATCTTTGTTTTAAAGAAAGGCTCAACATCAAACCAGCAGTTTACCCTTTAATCATAGTTCAGCTTTTAAGCATAATTCTGCTTCTCTAAATGTTTACGTTTACCCTTCAAGGGAGTCCAGGCAGACAGCAAGAATGCCAAGAAGAAGAATAATAAGAAAACCAATAAGAACAAGAGCAGCGTCAGCCGAGCCAATAAGAAGAAGCCTGGAATGCCAAATGTAGCCAATGATCTGTCTCAAAAACTCTACGCCACCATGGAGAAACATAAGGAGGTGGGAAACCTTCAGTTCTACTTGTGACCTAAATATGATCCAAACAATGACTCAGCCTATCAGCTGTAGTAGGTTGTTATTAGATGCTGATGTAGCGGTTTTCCCTCCAGGTCTTCTTTGTTATCCACCTCCATTCTGGGCCAGTCATCAACACCCTCCCACCCATAATGGACCCTGACCCACTGCTGACCTGTGACCTCATGGATGGGCGTGATGCCTTTCTGACGTTGGCCAGAGACAAGCACTGGGAGTTCAGTTCGCTGAGGAGATGTAAGTGGAGCTCCATGTGCATGCTGGTGGAGCTGCACAACCAGGGCCAGGACCGCTTCGTCTACACGTGCAACGAGTGCAAGCATCACGTGGAGACTCGTTGGCACTGCACTGTTTGTGAGGTAAGACTTTAATTCACCTTTACAAAGCGTTTCATGAGTAAGAATTCTTAGACCATCTTTTGTCGTACCGGGATTTTATATGATAGACCAGCAGAACAATGAGATGGAAGAAAAAAACATAAAATGGAATCAGCTTTGTAAACTCTGATACCTTAGAATAACATCAGTAGATCCAATTTTCCTCTGAACTAACCAAATTCAAATGGGTCCATTTGGGTGCTCCTTTCTTCAGGGGCCGCCGCAGCAGCTCGTTACAGCTGGCATGCTAGAGGTTTACCTTTCCTGACTCAACCCGGACCCCCTGTGTCAAAGATGCCGACTTAGCTAGCTACCCTACAGAGGGACAGATTTTTATGCAATGAATGAACATTAGGAAAGCATTTCATCATTTCAGTGTTATGGTTCGCTATCTGTTGGTCTGCCGGATAAAATCCCAATAAAATTATATAAAGTGTTTGGTTAAAATGCCAGAAATTTTAAATGGCCTAGTGATGGGATGAAAGCTCAAATCTCTACCTCACTTAAAACATCTTTCCTTGTGTCATCAGGACTATGACCTGTGCATTAACTGCTACAACACTAAGGGCCATGAACACCAAATGGTGAAGTGGGGTCTGGGTATTGACGATGACAGCAACAGCCAGAGCGGCGAGGCCTCAAAGAGTCCTCAGGAGAGTCGTCGTCTCAGCATCCAGCGCTGCATCCAGTCCCTGGTCCATGCATGCCAGTGCAGGAACGCCAACTGCTCGCTTGCATCCTGCCAGAAGATGAAGAGGGTGGTTCAGCACACTAAGGGCTGCAAGCGCAAGACCAATGGTGGATGTCCTGTTTGCAAGCAGCTGATTGCATTATGTTGTTACCACGCCAAGCACTGTCAGGAGAACAAGTGTCCCGTTCCATTCTGCCTCAACATCAAGCAGAAGCTTCGTCAGCAGCAGCTGCAGCACCGGCTACAGCAGGCTCATCTGATGCGCCGCCGAATGGCCACCATGGCTGGAAGAGGTATGCCAATGCCATCTCCACCTACCTCAGCTGCCCCTGAAACCCCCAACTCTGTGCAGCAGCCTAGTACACCCCAGACTCCGCAGCCCATGCCCAGCCACCCCCAGCAACAGCAACCACCAAACCCTGCCAACATGGGCCAAGGGTTCCCCAGCAATGGCCGCAGCAGTCAGCCGACGACTCCAGTGCCGCAGGGTAAACCGGGACCGCAGTCCTCCCCCCTTCATCAGCAGCTGTCTCCTATGCCCAACATGCCACATCAGCAGCAGGCTCCTCCTCCACAGCAGCAGCAGCCACCGCAGCAGCACCAACTGCTGGCGGCAATGAAGGTGGCACAGCAGATTGAGATGGCAGCTAAGGTGAGGCAACAACAGCCCAATTATGCCACCAACGGGATGTCTATGAATCCGCAACGCATTATGAACCCCATGCCGAGCCAAATGCAGATAATGCAGGGCCCTCGGGGACCCCAGGTGATGCAGTCTGTACCGCAGGGCCAGTGGGGCGCTGGGATGCAGAATCCCCAAGGCCATCAGCCTCTGGTCCCTCCTCAGCAACGCCCCATGGCCCCTCAGCCGACTCAAGGAACCCCAATGTCCCAGCAGTCCCCGCTCATGCAGAGACCCATGATGGCGCAGCCGTCGGGTCTTCAGATGCCCGGGGTCATGCCTCCCCAGGGGCCCTCCCAGCAGGGAATGACACCACAGCAGCAAAACATGCCCCGAGGAATGCCTGGAAATATTACTCCAAGTGCCGTGCAGGAATTACTGCACACCCTTAAGTCTCCGAGCTCTCCGCAGCAACAGCAGCAGGTCCTGGCCATCCTCAAATCTAATCCCCACCTCATGGCTGCTTTCATTAAACAGAGAGCAGCCAAGTACCAGGCCAGCCAGGCGCCGCAGCAGCAGCAGGTCCAGCAGCAGAACACACAGGTCATGCTGGGTCCACAGCCAGGGATGCAGGCCATGGCAGCTATGAACCCAATGCAGCGCCCGGGGATGGCTCCTCAACAGCAGCCACCTCAGCCGGTGGGGCCCCAGGGAATGGCACCTATGGGTCCTCAAGGCCAGATGATGAATCCCGCTCAAAACGGCAGCCCCCAGTACCACAGACAGCAGCTGCTTAGGATGCAACAAATGCAGCAGCAGGGAGGCTTGCCTCAGGGCCACGGGCAGTTCCCCCCACAGCAGCAAGGGGCTCCAAACTACTCCCAGCTCCGAGCGCATCAGCAAATGGCTATGCAAGGAGGCCAAGGTCCTATGGGGTCAGTCCCTTCCATGTCACAGATGGGCCAGCCTGGCATGGGGATGGACGGGATCCCGAACCAGCTCAGGCAGCGTATGATTCAGCATCAAATGAAGCAGCAGATGGGTTCTCCGGCGCAGGGGAACTCCATGAGTCCGCAACCTAATTTGCTGCAAGGCCAAGGCCAGACAGGAGCTCACCTCCAGGGCCAGGCCATGGCAAACACCCTGGGCAACCAGGTTCGTTCCCCGGCTCCAGTGCAGTCACCACGCCCACCTTCACAGCAACCCCCTCATTCCGGTTCCTCGCCGCGGATACAACCTCAGCCTTCGCCACAGCATGGGGCTCTCCACTCCAGCTCCCCTCACCCCAGCCTCGGTCCCATGTCTGGCCCTATGGACCAGGGACACATGGGAACTCCTGAGCAGAGCGCAATGCTCCCACAGCTGAACACGCCAAACCGAGGAGGGCTGAGCAATGACATGAACATGGTGGGCGATACCACAGGAGACACGCTAGAGAAGTTTGTTGAAGGATTGTAGCATTTTGAGACAGAAGAAAGCTCTGCTCCAGATTTTTTTTTCTATTTACTGATTTAAAAAAAAGTCTTAGGAGGCCTATGGACTGTGAACTTTCCTTATACCACAGACTCCTTTTTCTCTAAACAGAGTGATTTAATAATTGCTGTTGAAAAGAAAACAAAGACAAAGAATATATTTTTGGTTCCGGCCAGCATTGCAAGAATTTGCCCTGGTCTTTGTTGGTTTATTTTATTTTTCTGTTATGATTTGCAATTGAATTTTTAAAAAAACACTTAAAAAAAAAAAAACATCCTATTTTGTACCTTTGCAGATAAATATTGTATTTGTGTTGCGAAGTCTGTAAAGTTGTCTGTGAATTTTTTCGCCAGTTTCTCAGTTTTCCTGTTCCTGGCTAATTTATTCTAATATGCCATTTTATTATTATTCTTTTTGTTTTGTTTTTTCAAAAGGACTGCCTTTAGGAAAGCCTTAATTTCTTTCCTGTTTGCAGAGTTTAAAGGAGATTAACGTATTTGTATAGATCTAGGATACCTATTGCACACACAAACACAACATGCTGGTGGAAGAGAAGCTTGTGTTAAAACTCGTTCATGTTCACAGGTGCCAGAATGTTCTTTTTACCTGGCCCCATCCCAGCGATTGTCTTGCAGATTTTCAAACTTTGCTTTTGTCTGTTCTTTATTCTAAAGAAATTGTCAATAAGTACTGAACCTGTTTTGCCTGTGGTGGGAAATATGTAATTCTTTGACTGCTGATTAGTGTTCGGAGAGTTTTTGTGCAGCATTTTTCTCTCTCATTAAACTTGAATTGATGAGGAACTATTCTCTAATGTAAATCAAGCAGCTAGACAGTACTGTAAATATGCAGAAAATGAGAATGAATTCACTGTATAAACTGGTTCAAATGGCTCATTTCGTACTTATATACCTTATTGTTAAATAAACCTGTGTGCCACAGAATCTGTCTCTAACCTATGACAACCAAATACTAAACTAACCATCAAAGTGCATTATGGGACGATGCTGATTGTCAATTAGACATCCCTGTTCTTGTCCCATTCATCTATTGGCTTCCACTAATCCAACTGGACCAGATGTAAAACCCAAACATCCTACTTTCTCTGCAGCACTTTGGCTCTTCCTGTGGAAACAGATACTTGTATATCCAAGTAGTCTCAGAATCCTTAAATGTCTCCACTGGTTCAGGTAAAACGTTTATACTAGATTAAGAGAGAAAAACATTAAAGGTAGTATTTAAAGCACTACATAAAAAGAAATATGTTCATTTCAAACAAATTTTTAGATATAAAATGAGCAGATAAAGTACTGTTGGTTCCAAAGCTGAGGATCTGGTCCTGGCAACCTGTCAGCAAGTCGCTGACCACCAACCCTGAAAAGTTATCAGTTCTAAAACCATTCAGTGGTTCATAAAACATTATCAATAAATTTGCATACTGTATGTCCTTTTGCAAACGGGTCTGGACTATGAAGAAACATTTAAGGTGAGCTGCAGCTGTCTGATGCATTTTTAAATAGATTAAGGTTCATTGCAATAATCAAAACACAAGTAAATTTAAGCATGCACGATTATTTCCCCCTTATTTTGTGGTGTATTAAAAAAAAGTTATAGTTATTAACCTTTAAGTTAGTGCAAAAACAAGTCTAACAATACCAGGTTATTATTGGAAAGCCCTTGATCTTTTACAGTGTGGTGTGATGATCTTTAGTCTTGCATCTTTGGACCTGGAAACAATTATTTCTATCTAACTGAGCTATTCACATTAACTCAGTGGCTAATTAAATACATTTCAGTATTCTGCTCATGGATCTTCCTTCATAGTCTTAGTAAGGAGAAAGTGAAGATGTAGAATAAAAGCGGCATAAGTGAGCTTTTAGAAAGCTGAGATTTATGATTTATTTACGGTCGAATCTGCCAACGGGAAATAAAATATTTTCGCAAAGACATTTCGCAGTACAAAGACTTAAGGTGGTCCATTATTTTACCTTTACCTGGGTCAAGCCTAAATAGGCCGTTGACACAAGAACATGTGAGTATTGGACAGTCCCATCTTAGGGTCACAAATAAACTGATTTTGTACAGTTTTATGTAAAAGTTGGCCGACGAAACTGGATTTGTACGGTCTGTAAAGGCAGATTTTGTTTTGTGAAATCCAAACATTCGCTGTTTTTGTATTCCAGTCTAGAATTTAGGGGCCCAACTGGAGCGGTATCCTTTAAAATTGAACGTCTACTACTCAAACTATAAAATATAATTGTTTTAAATAAAATATGTATTTTTTTCCAATTCTCATCAGGCAGATTTTCAGACACTCTGATGATGTCATCTTTAAGCGCAGCGCAATCTTCGGTCCTCACCGGTCGGCGTGTGTCCGTCCCTCTGTCTGGTGACCTACTCCGCATTTGGTCCCCCTGCAGGTTTGTCCATCATGTCCCGCTGTCTTGGGCTGGCTCGGTTCGTCCTCGGTTCTTCTCACAGGACCAGTTTGAAGTTAAATTCTTGCACACGAGGACTTAGTAGCCTCAAATTCTCTGGAGGTACGTGATGTTACGTCAGAACCGTTAGCTTTTAGCCTCGGTGCATCAACTAAACTGTTTTTACTTTGCAACCTTCATCTTCTGTCAGTGAGCCCCAGGGCAGCTGTGGCTACAAGGTAGCTTGCCACCATCAGTGTGTGTGTGAATGGGTGAATGAATGTAGTGTAAAGCGCTTTGGTCAAGTCTCCTGACTTGAATAAAGGCGCTATATAAGTACATGCATTTACCATCTTACAAGGTTAGATATTTGATTTTCTTTTTTTTTTTTCTTTTTTTTTTTTTACATCAAAGCAAAGGCAGAATAAAACACTTGATCTGTCCTGAGTGAGCTTCTAGAAAGATCAAATAACAAATTAAAAAATACATATATGAATGTCAATGTTTATTAGAGAAAAATCTACTTGTCTCAAATGTTTGTTTTTGACAGCGACACTGTAGAAGAACATGTTTGCAGCAAATGACAAAACAAAATATGAACATATTAAGCACAAAAAAAAGGCATTTTTGATGCAGAAATTTTGCATACTGGAAAATCAGTCATTGGGGAAATAAAAGTGTAAACCACCAAAAAAAGCTAAATATAATGAAACTGACTAATAAGAATGCATTAAATGAAGGAAAAAGATTTCGGGTTAGTGGAAGAAAAAGTGCATGGGCTATGAGGATTATTTCAGTATCTTTAAGGATTACAAGATTACTGCTCCTTTTCCAACTTTCCTCCACATTCTGGGAAAAGCAGAACATCCTAATATCTACAACAATGACATTTTTGTTTTTTCTATTAAAAGGTCATCCGTCAGAAAACTGATAAACTATGTAAAAAAAAAAACTCAGAATAAAAAAAAAAAAAGAATCCTAACATTTTACAGTTATTGCTAAGAAGTTCAAAATATATATATATATTTTTTACTTTTTGTGTAGAATGGCTTTATTTTTCTCTCTAAGCCGTTTTGAATAAACAACAAGGGATTTGGGCTGATTTCTCTTTAATTTAGTTTATCTATATAGCGCCAATTCACAACATATGTAATCTCAAGGCACTTTACAGTTCAACCAGATCATACAGTCAATTGATTCAAAGTTTTCTATCTAAGGAAAACCAGTTGATTGCATTGACTCATTGACTAAAAGGCAATCCCTCACTCAAAGCATGCTTGTAGTGACAGTGGAGAGGGAAAAACTCCCTTTTAACAGGAAGAAACCTCCAGGAGAACCAGGCTCAGTGTGAACGGCTATCTGCCGAGGCCGACTGGGGTTCAAGGAGACAGAAGCAGAGATACAAAAAGTAACTGTAATAGGCGGCCCCGTCCAGGAAACACACAGCCAGGCAGACGAGCTCTGAGCCAACTCCCATGTCAGAGGATGAAGAGCAGAGAACATCCAGCTAATATTTCTCTCCAGGATGGTGTCACAAGCAAACAGGAACTGACCAGATGAAGCTACTATGATGAGAAAAAAGCAGAGAGAGCCTAACTTTAGAAATAGAACTAACAAAAACTGCAGAATTAGTGAACCCAATTTATGGGTTTAAAGTGTTCCTTTAATTGTAATAATTATATAACATACATTTTGTCAATACATGAATAATAGTAACATAAATCATTATGTTATAGACTTTCACATAAATTAAAATTGTATTTATGGATTTTACTTTTTCCTTGGTTTAAGTGAATTAATCTAATGAATCTTTTACAAAACATTTATTGGTATATAGTAGAATTGTTTTTTTTTCTCTGTTGTCTAGAATTCAAACTTTGCTCTCCATTTGGACGATCTGCTGGTGTTTTATTGTTTTATCGCAATCACAGAAGAGGCACTTCTGCCATTGCAGAATTTCCTGATTCTGTGCAGCCCTGCTGTTGGTATGATATGTCAGTTCAAGGTGGTTTCTGTTAAAACTCCCACTCCATCATCAGTCCAATTGGCTTTTCTTCTCCATTCGTTTGTTGCTTGTGCTCCTTTTCTCCTGTCATCTCCTATTACTCAAACGATACCAACAGCCACACTTTATTGGCACATCAACAATCTATTCATAAAATCTTCAGGATTGTTCACACAGATTTTTAAAACTTCTGGTTTAAGAAATTTGAACTAAATGCTGCTAAAAAAAATCCAGTACTTTCCACTCAGAGACACACTACAAAAACAGTTTTCCAAGAAGTAGAATTTTTTTCCTCTGTCAGGTTTAGCTTTAAGTTTTAGGTTTAAGTAATCTGATTTAAGCTTTAAAAATGTCTTTTTTTATTTTTACATATATGTATTACAGTTTTGCCTTCAAACGGAAAAGGTTTTATTAAATCATTAGCAGTATGCTGTAAAATGTCTTATTTATTCTCCTAAATACATGCATTAAAACAGTGAAACAGTTTTAATAATCTCCTCCTGTCATCAGATCCTCCAGTTAGTCAGCAGCAGCAGAGGTGGAGCAGGCGGCCCACTGTGTGGAGGCCTCAGTGTTTCTCTCCAGGCTTCAGTCGGCAGGCTTACTACAGCACCCAGGAGGTGGAAAAAGAGCCAGAGGAGGAACCTTTACACAACATCATCACTGACACAGAGTCTGTGGAAGGTACCTGGACACTTATTCTCTCTGCTGCTTTAACTATAAATGCTTATAATTTTTTTCCCCCACTCTTTCAATAATTCATTTTATTATTATTATTTTGTTTAGGCAGTTCATCTAAACATGAGTTTCAGGCTGAAACAAAGAAACTTCTGGACATCGTTGCCAGGTCTTTGTACTCTGAGAAAGAAGTAAGAAGTTGTGTGCGATTTGAGAGGTTTTCTGCATCTGTGTTCCTCCGTACCGGTTTCCTGAATGACTTTGTTCACATCAGGTTTTCATCCGGGAGCTGATCTCTAACGGGAGCGACGCTCTGGAAAAGCTGCGGCACAAAATGATCACAGCGGGCGGGGAAACGGCTCCGATGGAAATCCACCTGCAGACAGATGGTGCTAAAGGAACCTTCACCATTCAGGTACCCGCACTTATGTCTGTTGAGTTATTTTGATCACTTTGGAACTGTGTTTTAGTTTATTTTTGTGAGATCTGTTGTTACTGATTAGAATAATAAATTTATCTCAAGGTTTTTACTGTTTTAATAGATTAAATCTTGATTGGAAACCCTGATCACCTTCAGTCTGACACTAGATGAGCAGCTGGAGTTTATACTTGTGGCTGATTGAAACCAAAATGGTTACTAAAGGACTTTTTGATCAGGTTCCAAATTGTTACTTACCATTGATACATATTATATTTGTATATATTTATAAAATTCATCATTTTTTTTTAATTCAGAAAATGCACACATTGCAGTTGAGTCCTCTCAAAGGTGATTTGGAAAATGGTCTGCCACCTGGTGGCGGTGTGTGATACTGCACGCTGCTCTGATGGATGTTTT